TTTACCTTTTATCACAACAAAATGTTCCTCATTACACTATATTTTATCAATCCAATTAAACTTATCAAAAAAAATTCAAAAACATGGTACACAGATTCGCTGAAACCTAAAATGGGTCTTACCAATTTAATTACCTCTACAGGTTCGGACGCTTTTCGTATTCGAATTGAATCTTCCATTTTCCTAATCTGATCTGGGGTGTACTTAACAACTGTACAAAGAGGGAAGAACATAGAGAGCAACGCCAATGTTGATTGAGCATACGGTGAGAGTGGTTCGCTTGTACGAACACCATTTCCCTCTCCCATTATACCCCCACTCACCCCCACCCCTCGCCATCTTCCTTCGTTAACTTCGTCTCCATCCCACATATCTCTCTCTCCCTATATCTATATCTATCTATCCATCTATCTATCTATACTATTATAAATACTATTATAAAGTGTACACCTCTTATCTTATCTGTCCTGACCCTCATACCACTTAAGTTACCTCTTATCTTATCTGTCCTGACTCTCATACCACTTAAGTTACGTACACATTATAATATTATTTTTATTATTATTTTTTTTTATTTTTATTTATTTAAGTACACATTATAATATTAATTTTTTTATTTTTATTTTTATTTATTTAAATTAAGGCAAATTACATATACACCCCTCCAGGTTTGACAAAATTACAGATACCCCTGAGGTTTGAGAAATTACGAATTCCCCCCTGAATGCTATATTTGCATAAGAAATTAGGGGGTAATTTGTTATGAAATATAAACCTCAGGGGGTAAATTGTTATGAAAATACAAACTTCAGGGGGCGGGATGTAATTTCCGAAACCTCAGGGGTATCTGTAATTTAACCAAACCTGGAGGGGTGTATATGTAATTTGCTATTTAAATTACACACGCATCACGTGTGCGCGGCCGTTAGTACTATTATAAAGTGAACACCTCTTATGGTGTCCTGAAGCTCTACTCTCCTCATGTCATGTGACAGTATTTTTTATTTTTAAAAAAAAAGTTAAACAAAGAGATGGGTAAGGCTTGAACCCATGACAATGAGTTTAAGTACGAGGACTCATATCACTTAAGCTAAGTACACATTACAATATTAATTTCATTATTATTTTTTTTTATTCTTACTTATTTAAATTGCACACACATCGTGTGTGCCATCCACTAGTACTATTATAAAGTGAACACCTCTTATGGCAGTAATTTTTATTTTTTTAAGCATCGTGTGTGCCACCCACTAGTACTATTATAAAGTGAACACCTCTTATGACAGTAATTTTTATTTTTTTAAAAAAAGTTAAACAAAGAGATGGGCAAGGCTTGAACCCATGACCATGGGTTTAAGTATGAGGACTCATACCACTTAAGCTAAGTACACATCATAATATTAATTTCATTATTATTTTTTTTATTTCTACTTATTTAAATTGCACACACATCGTGTGTGCCACCCACTAGTATATATATATATTAGCAGCCGCGCACACGCGATGATGAATTATAATATGAATTTTACATTAAATTTTTTAATAATGCACATATAAATCACATGTATAATTATGTGTAATGTAACATTTAGGTCAAGTTTGACATGATTGAAAAAAAAAATAAAAAGTCAAAAAGTCACTATCCTATTTAAATCACATCATCTTATTTAAGTCGCATCACCTCTCTAGCACATCACTTCAAACTCAACTCAAACCCAACCCATATTTCATAAAAAGTCAAAAAGTACATTTATTTAGTCTTCCCAAACTAGGCCTTAATATTAAGATATTTGATAAATAAAATAGATGTACGTTTAAATTTGTTCAATTTTTTTTAAAGAAAATATAATATTTACTAATCTTAACTAAAGAAAACTCTATAATAAAAATTCATATAAAATCTTAATTTGGTAAAATAAGATTGAAGATCTTACAAATCTTGTAAAAAAATATATAAGATACATGTAAAAATTAATTTACAAACAATGTATAATGATCAAATTAAAATTTTACGTTATTAAAATGAACCACAATTGTACACATGCGTACTTTGACTAATAGAGTACAATAATAATTTTGGTTTTCTAATTGTCTTATTATATATAAAGGCACAAAATGTAAATATTATAGAAGTTTTTATGAATGAAACTAAAAAATTTTAAAAATACATTTTGACATAGATTAACATAGTCCAAATCAAATGGAAAAAAAATCCCAAACTTTTTAAGTCTAAGTCTAAATAATTACACACATTTTATGCTTCACAGTTTTTTAAATATATATAAAATAAAAAAAATGATATAATTTGTAGTGATTGTAGGCAATCTAATCTTGATCATATGCAATTTTATTTATTTATTTTTGGCATTAGCTAGGTTGATTATGGTTAGAGGTAAATTATTTTGATTACTTCTGACAGTGGATAGTGTTTTGATTTGGGGTGGAGATTAATATTTTTCTTCTTGGTTGTTTGGAAATTCAAGTAGTTCTTTCATCTGAATTCACTTTCTCGTTTCTTAAATTTGACAATTTGAGAAAAATTAATGTTTGGGTTAAATACATTAAAGTGGGAGGCTGTGCAGTCCCATATATTAAATTTGACTGATAATGGGAAATTGGGAATGGTTAGCTTTGCTTACTCACCCTCTTCTATTGTTTAGTATTATTTTGGCATTGGCATGTAGAGAGATAAAATTATACTTTTTTTTAGAGAGAGAAACAAAAATCACCTATGCCCCTAACTCAACAATCAACGGTTTTGATGTCCACCGGTGTCGCCACCACCGCCAACGCCAGTCCCGGACTACACACCACCGCCCATCGCCGCTGCGTCGGAGATTTCATGGATTGTGAGAAATCATCAGATTGTTATTTGTTAAACGGAGTAGATTACGATTACAATTACGTTTATGACCACAATGACCACCGGATGATTCGGTACTTATGGTTGCTGAGGAAGATGGAGCTGATGAGGGGGTTAGCGATTGCGCAGTGTTTGGTTTCGGGAAGGAATGTGGGCCGTACGATCTTCGCGGCATTGATGATGATGGTGGTGGCTTTGGTGTTTGTGACAGGTCTCGTATTGTGGATGTGTGTGTATAATCCATACAAAAATTTCAATTTACAATGTAATATATATAATTCATACAAAAATTTCTCATACATACATGATTCGAAAAAATTTAAGCATATTTCTCGCAAACAATTACATCAAAGAGCCTAAACTTGTATTCCCTTGGGTACAAATGCCATCAAGATTAAGATGGTGTGCTTCAACCGCCATGGAAACTGATTTCTTCTTCTTGGTTATCTCTACTCTTTCTTTTTCGTTTTTTCCCTTTTCTTTCTGTGTAGTTTGGGTTTGGGGACAGAGAAGAAGGGGAGGAGAGAAAGGAGCGAAGAGAGTGAAATGAACAAAAGCATGCAATAGAGGTGGCAAAGCCGTAAGGTGGGGTTGAAAGAAGATGGAAGTTGAAAGAAGTTATTGAACATGGGAAGTTATTCAATGTGAGAAGTTATATTTTGTGAGTTAATAATTTATGATTTTATCCTTAATTATGCATTGATATGAGTTTAAAACTAGTATAATTATTGAAGAAGTTAAGGTTATTTTAAGAAAATTAATAAAAAATTATGAGAGCATGACTTCAAGAAACCAAAGTACTTGTTGGCTTTTAATAATAGTATAGATATATATCTATCTCTCTTTGATATTCAAAGAATGTTTCTTGATTGCCTCTAATGGATCAATCGATTGATCGTATCATCAATCAACCGCTTTCTTCTTTTGGGATTGGCAAATTATGTGCTTTTTGTCTCAAGATATTGAAGAAGATCTCAGATGATGAGAAAAGTAGTAAAGCAAAAAAAAAGACAAAAAGTTAGGATCATGAATTTTTTTTCATGAAAATGATCATAAAAGATTTATGATTCTTGGATTACCTTAATTAGTGTGTGATGCTTTATTCTAAGTATAATCCAAAGGTCACAAAACTTTCATGATTATTTTCATAAAAGATTTTTCATGATACGTAGCATTGCTGGAAAAAAAATTGAGAAAAAGATGTATTATGTATATGAGTGTTGTGATTTGGTGCTGATTTTGGCCCCAAATTAATTTGTGTTAATTAAGTTTTAATCCACATTAGACTGTGTTAATGTGTAAAATTAGGTTCGAATCATGATTATTATTAAATTAAATATTAATAAGTAGGATTATTAGTGGTTGTAATGGCGGTGTGCCTAAAGTGCGCGTGGTGGGTTGCATGATAGGTTGCTCTGTTTTTTGTGAGCCACGTACTAACGTGCGCTGGAAGAAGGGTAAAGTAATCAGTATTGTTAGTACTCATTTGGCTAAGATTTGGAGATTAAAAATATATAAAAGGATAAAATAAGTTATATAAATCAATAAGATCTACTTTTTACCCATAATTATTACACTTTTTCTTTTACAAAAGTAAAAAAAAATTCAAAACAAAAACCAAACAAGGTTGAAAAAGTCCAAGGCTAAAAAAGTTGGCTATATCAGTTAGTGCCAAACGACCCCTTATTTGTGGGGACATATTTTATGAACGACAGCACGTGGCTAAGGTGACACTGAAGTGTCAGCCGATGTGCCACGTAGTTTGGTCATGCTAAAGAGATGATCTCGACTAGACCGAGGTTATCTGCGGAAATACCAGAATCTGAGTTAAGCAAATAAAGGACAAGAGTTCTAGAACAGAGAAGTAGGGGTGGTCACGGATCGGTTCTGTGCGGTTCGGATGACGGGTTGGACCCGCCCGATGGGGTGCGGGTTGGGAAAAAATGGAACCGCATCCGCCCGCAGTGCGGGTTGCGGATTGAACGGGTGGGTCATATGGTTGTGCAGGCAGTTTGTGAAATATATATATATATTTTTTTGGGCTTTTCCGTTGGGGCTTCGCCTTCTCACTTTTTGAAGTCATAAAACAATGAAAACGCAAGAAGAATTCTAGAACCAACAATATTCTTATTAAATAAACAAAGCAACAATGAATACACTTTTTTTATTAAACAAATAAACCAACATTTTCACATACAAGTTACAACAATGAAAGATTTTTTTTATTAAATAAACAAAGCAAAAAGTTATAAAGAAAAGTCTTCAAACCCACAACCACCCAAACCTTGAATCTGCACGGAAAAAAAAAACAAAATAAAATAAAAATTTTCCAACCTGGCAATGAAAATTGGTGTTGAAGAACTTCATAGTCAAAATTGCTTAAAAAATTATGACCCAGAGAGAGAGAGGGGGGAGTACTTGTATAACCCAGCTAATAAACACCCATACCTATAACATAACTAGCAAACCATAAATAAATGAAGATAAAGGATTCCAGATCTAGGATTCATACCTTCGTGCAATGAAACATTTTTTTTCTTTTTTTTTTTCTTTTTTTTTGAAGTTTCTACATCTTCTAGATCTGGCATCTCCAGATTTGATTTGTGATTGGGAGATGGCTACGGGGAGGAGATGAAAGAGACGTCAAGCAAGGGGCGAAAGATAGTGGTGGTGACGGCGACGAGGAGGGGAAAGAGAGAGAGAGAGAGAGAGAGAGAGAGATCTATTTGGGCAAAGAGAGAGGAGGACCAAAACAAAAAAAATGAGATTTTTTTAGTTCAACAGTGGGATCGTTGTGTTATTTTAAATAAAATCTACGGGTGGGTTGTGAGAGTAGATTTTTTTATTTGAAACATGATGTTGCGGCGCGGGTTATGCGGTTTTGCGGGTAGGGTCGGGTTTGACCTAAATCTGATTTTGTATGGAAAAACAGATTCGCACCCGCCCTATTTATGCATGCGGGTAGGGTCGGATTTGTGCGGGTAAAGTCGGTTTGGGCGGGTTGTGCGGGTCGGATAAACCGTTGCCCACCCCTACAGAGAAGGATCTCATTTTGGATAAAGATAAGGCTCAAGCAGAGTTTATCTCTATCTAGATGAGGGTCCAATATGAGTATTAAGCTTGAGTCCACTGAAGTAAGGCTTCTAAAGGGATCAGGTCACTGTTGGTTATAAAAGCAAGGCATTCTCGTAGGTCTAAGGTAAGTTCTTTCTTATGAGTTTAAGCACAATTTGCTATCTGTGAGAGATATTGACTACTGACTTGATCGTTGGAGTGCTCCCGGGTAGACGAACCACTACTGGATTCTCATATTCTTTTGTAGGTTGTTGGGCTTAGTCAATTCTGCCGGTGCTCTCTAGCTGAGTTCTCTGTTTGGTTGTGTGGTCAAAAATCAATATCTACAATTTGGTGCCATCTGTGGAAACTTAAGGAAAATAGATGGCCAACGACGGATAGGAAGAAAATATTGCAGATGACATTATCAGTGAGAGTGGTGAGCATACAGATCCTAATGTCGGGGAGAAAAAACTGTAATGAAGGAGCACAGGATCCGAATCTTAGGGAGAAGGATGTCAGCAAAGAGGGTAACGCCCCGAAGAAAGTAGGCCGAGATGAGTGTTACAACGAAAATGACCTTCAGGTATGGAAAAATAGATGCCTGAAGAGGGACGGCGAGATGAAAGGAATGGCAAACAAATTGGTAGACCTACAGTCGGTTGTCGACTTCATGATGTAGAAGAATATGATGCAGCCACCGTTCTCGTTGTAGGACACGCCAGTACCAGCGGCAAAGACTGACACTGAGAAAGGGGAACAGGAAACAATCCCAATAGACCCGCAGCATGGCAAGGAAAAGGGGCGCTCATATCGGCCTTCACGATATGTCGGGCGAGCAAAGTTAGTGAAAGGTGAGTCACAAAAGACACCTCGTACCAAGGAAACTTATGTCAGAGAACCTTGGCATGTCCAAGGGAAGGGCTTGTATTTTAATATAATGAATGAAGAGAAGTTGAAGAGGATATACAATGACACCGGGAGTAGCTGCCAAAAAAGCTAAAATCTGTTGATAGCCGAGCTCCCAGCTGAACAAATGAGGATTTGAGAGACTAGAGGAAACAACTCAACACTGAGGTAACATCCTCCGTCAAGCCAATGACACCCTTCTCAATGGAGTTAGATAGATTTGAGGCCCCGAAGAAATTCCACATATCGAGGTTCCAGATTTATGACGATAAGTCTGATCTGAACTTTCATGTTGGTTTATATTTTAATTCTATGGCTTTGTGAAGTGGGAATGAGCAGTTGTTGTGCAAGGTGTTCCCTTTATCTTTTGGGAAAATCGCATCGAACTAGTTCCATAAGTTGTAGAAAGGAACTGTGAAGAATTGGAAAGGCCTGGCCGAAATGTTTGTGACCAGGTTTGTTATAAACAAATTGCAGCCACTCAGGGTAGACTCACTGTTGGCTTTGAACATTAGCGAGGGTGAAAGTCTCAGGACTTATGCCAAAAGATATTACGAGGTGTTCAACCGAATTCCTACTTGTAACCAGGAACTAGCGGTCGTGTCTTTTAAGAATGGCCTAGAGGATGAATGCCCGCTACGGAAATTGTTGGCCAAGACCTTACCAAAAAGTATGGAGGAGTTCATGGCTCGGATCGAGAAATACGCCAAGGCAGAAAAGGATATGCCAGGAATAAAGACACCAAAGCAAGAGAAGAAAAACAGCTCGCCGAAGTGAGGCCGAGGTAATACTGGTTTCAACAGGTAGGAAATAGGGTTAAGGACTGCACAAGCAGTCACCAATGCATTCAGAATCTCGGTCTACAAAGTTCTTAAAAGGATCAAGAACCAACCATACTACAAAGCACTGGAGAAGATCCTTGATGAGTTTATGGGAAGGAGCCTTGGGAAGCATTGTGCTTACCATAATGAAGATGGGCACTTGACTTAAGGATATAGGGCTCTGAAGACACACTTGGAGGATTTGGTCAGACAGGGTCACCTGAGTGACCTAGTAAATGAGGTCAGGACAAGGGAAGAGCAAGCAAGGCTACCCCAGGCATCGGCAGCAGCACCTCCACTACTGCCACCGCAACAAGCAGATGGACCTCGGGTGATTAATGTGATTCACTCAAAGGTTAATGAGAATGATGTACGTGGGGAAACTCAAAGAGTAAGGCATCTACAACATGTGTACCAGGTCTAGCAAAAGAAGCCTAAGACAAATGAGTACTAGGGGCCAGTGGTTTCTTTTACTGAGGCAGACCTATATATGGTGCAGTATCCACACAACGATGCCCTGATGATAACGCTGAATATTAGAGAGTGCCAGGTGAGATGCATACTAGTTGATCAAGGTAGTTCTTGTGACATCATGTATGTTAGATGTTACAAGGAGCTTGGCCTTCACCTAGATGACCTAGAACAATCTAACAGCCTGATGGTGGGATTCAACGGAACGCCGACGTGGCCTTTAGGAGCCACAAATTTGGAGCTACAGACAGGCACCAAGAAGGTAAGTACGGAATTTACAGTAATTGATGCCCCCTCTCCTTACAATGTTATTTTGGAAAGATCATGGTTACACGCAATGAGGGTTAGTCCCTTAACGCTGCACCAGCTATTGCGGTTCCTAACGGAGCATGGAATTGAGGAGGTCAAAAGGGATCAGGTGTTGCTCCATGGCAGCAATGAAGTCCACATGCAATATGTGGGAAACGAAGACAGTTGAAATTGAAGACGAGGACATGGAGGTCCTAGATTATGTCGGCAAAGAACCAGCCGACAAGAGTGAGAAGGCTTTGAAGAAGATTCAGGTCCAGGAAGATGATGGAGAGCGCTTCTTCCTTTTCAGCTTAGGCTTAGCCGAGGAGGAGGAAAGATAGTTGGAAACTTTCTTGCGAGTGAACATAGAAGTGTTTTCCTGGACGCCCTATAAGATGCCAGGAATCGACCCCGAGTTCACTTGCTATAGACTCAATGTTGACAGGTCGGCTAAACCTGTCATCTAGCGGGCAAGGAGGCTGAGATTAGTACATATGGAAGTAGTTGAGGAGGAAGTGGACACGCTGTTGGAAGCCAAGACCTTTCGGGAGGTGAACTACCCAACCTGGCTGTCCAACACAGTAGTTATAAAAAAGAAGAACGGTAAGTGGAAGGTTTGCATGGACTTCACTAGCCTAAATAAGGCTTGCCCGAAAGACAGTTTCCCACTATCTAAGATTGATCAGTTAGTAGATGCCACTTCAAGGCATAGGAGGGTGAGTTTCTTGGAGGCATATAAAGGCTACTATCAGATAGTAATGTATGCCCCAGATGAAGAGAAGACGGCATTCATCACCTTGAAAGGACTCTATTGTTATAGAGTAATACCTTTCGGATTAAAAAATGCGAGACTAATCTACTAACGGTTAGTGACTAAAATGTTCAAGCATCTGATTGAGAAGACAGTAGAGGTCTATATTGATGATATGGTCGTGAGGACCAAAGAACCTGGGAATCATAGCCGACATGAAGGCAGTCTTTGACATGCTAAGAACATATCGGCTGCGACTCATTGCTTCGAAATGTGCATTTAGAGTCGGATCTGGCAAATTCCTAGGATACTTGGTCGCTAGGAGCGGCATTGAGGCAAGCCCAGATCAGATCAGGGCTATCCTTAACTTAAAGAGCCCGGCATCAGCTAAGCAAGTCCAGATTTTGACCGATAAGGCAACAACCTTGAATAGATTTATCAGCCGAAGTTCTGATAATTGCAAGCCATTTTTTCAATTGTTAAAGAATGCCACAAATTTTTTGTCGATAGAAAAGTGCGAGGTCGCATTGGCCGACTTGAAAAGGTACCTGACAACACCTCCAGTTTTGTCAACTCTAATACCTAGGTAATAACTATTCCTGTACTTGGCAGTATCAGACCAAGTTGTCAGTGCAGTGGTAATCTGAGAAAATGAGAGAGAGCAAAAGACAGTATACTATGTGAATAAGACCCTAGCAAGTACAGAAACCAGGTAACTGCCCTTAGAAAAGTTAACATTAGCCTTGGTGATGGTTTCCAAAAAATTGAATCAGTATTTTCAAGCCCACAAGATTGTGGTGCCGATTGAGCATCATTTGAAGTTCCTGTTACAACATGGAGATCTGACAGGTAGAGTAGCCAGATGAGCAGTGGTGCTGTGCCAATAGGACCTGGAATTCAAGCCTAGAACAACGATCGAAGGGTAGGTTTTGGCCGACTTTGTGGCCGAGTTCACCCCTGGTACCATCTGTAGACACCCTATTTTGACCGTCCTCAAGACTTGGACGTCATCGTTTGAACACTCAACGATCATCCATGTTCGTGTTCATTTTGAGATCCCAAAGGACTCGGCTACGCGCCTTGCCTTAAGATCTCTCGACTTGACTGTTTTGTGCTTGGTTGTGGACCAAGGACTAGTGGTTTTTGCACCTGAGGGTAGGAAGTGGCTTGTTAGCCATCCCTTAAACCCACCGGCTGTGGCATGAAGCCACCGGCCTTGTTTTCTGTCTACCGACCAATTGTTTGGTCGGTTGGCACAGATATTTGGTTAGTCGGCCATTTATTTGGCCGATTGTCTCTTTTTCTGGCCGGTGCCTCCTTTTTTCCTTTTTCAAGCATTGTGCATGCCAACTGTGCTAGCTGGAGTGCACGGCCTTGTCCTCCATACACATGTATGGAGGACTTGCACCCTTTGCACCCTTTTGCTCTAAGCTTCTTGAAGAAGCTTAGACCCTTTGTCTTAGCTTCCTCCAG